AATTCGAATGAATAATCCTTCCATGTACTTTCGGGATTTTTAACATGATTTAAAAATTTAAATCCGAACTTATCAGAGCTTTACTTATATCTCTTAAGCAATAATGATATTGGAAGTATACCATTTGTTCAAGTATCGCGTAGCTCGGTTGGGGGGAGGAGGAAGCAAGAGTTTGATTATTTTAGCATATTAATAATTTATTTGCATTATCTTCGTTTTCACGGGCGATTAGTTGCGTAATTTCATAAGGGAGTAATCCCAATAATTGTGATACCCAATACTCTTTCCTTAAACCAATACGTCGTGCTGCTGTTCAAATAAAACTAAATAAAAATTTATATTTCTATCTTTGATCTTATATTCATGCATTAACTTTCTAAAATCTGTGTGTGCGTTTTTACTTTTCTCGTTACTACTTAAATCCGAAATGTTTACGTTTTGAGCCCTACTTTCTATGCGTAGACGTTCAAGATCATACTCGCGGTCTGCCAATGTTTTGGCTGACATTTCTGATGCTACTCTATCTTCCGAAATTCTACTTAGTAAGCTCTTACTAAATTCTTCATCATATGATTCCGATTCAGTTATAATATGTTTTAAATCAATTATTTCAGCATCTTCTGGTACCGAAAGACCTAACTCTGATGCTAATTCTATTAAATCTACTTTTTTTGCCTTCCCCCAAAAGGCCATACTTTATAATTTATGATACTTAAATACTTAACAGATAGAAATACTTTATCAATAACGCAATTTTAGTACTTTCAACCAAAGCGAAAACAAAATTACTTCAATTTAATTACTTCGTTGAAAACGAAATTAAGAAAATAATTCTCAAAATCGTTTACTATCGTCGGAAATATAATTCTCAAAATCGTTTACTACTTAACAATACGTTTTTTTATACGTTACTATACATTTGAATACTTAAAACGAAATAATTAAAAAATCGCCAACCTGACAGCGTTGCGGATAGTCCCCGTTCTGAATTGTTGTAATCCCACTTCTGAATTTGTTGGAAGTATACCACTTGTTCAGGTATCGAGTAGCTCGGTTGGGGGAAGGAGGAAGTAAGAGTTTGATTACTTTAGCATATTAATAATTTATTTACAAACAATATTTACAGACATCAGTAATTGCACCATTCTTCACATCAGGCTCATTTTGCACGTACCTACACTCTCTCTATACATAATTGCTACTGCCATCTAGTTTCCAATAATTTTCTTTTTAAACTTTAATAACATAAAAGCTTAGTGTTAACAATATATACACACACACACATATATATATACATATATATACATATATATATATACATATATATACATATATACATATATATAATATACATACATA